CCCCCCCCCCCCCCCCTAGGATCACAGTTGGCTTCTCTGCTGTGCTATTCAACTCATTCTTTACAAAAGATGGCAACATCAGCCATCTACTCAGCCATTAATCAAATTATTCTGCATTTTACTGACAAGCATGATTGAGTTATTGACAATAATTCTACACCAACCTCCTGCTGCAAAAACATCTTGTTTGGGGCTATAACAAGAAGTAAGGCAATAATACAAAATCAGTGACTGGTATGCAAAAATATGGACCTATATTCAACCAGGATAATGTCACTTTGGGTGGTTTATAAAGTTGGCACTTGAATTCTGGTTTCCATGGCATGAATCAACAAGAATTAATCCCCCCGGATGGGATGTACTTGTCTATCACCAGGAGCCCATTACCTGGATCCTCCATCTCCTATACTAACCCTCTGAGCCAACCCTTTCCCTATCTTTCTATTTTTAGACACAGCTGTTATGAGAGTTTTCACATGATCCCTTTTCAATACCCAATGATACCCCAGCTAAAACCATTCTTTGTTCCAGTAAAAACTAAGATCCCACTTTTGCCCTCTATTTTGCATTTTCTATCTGCAGGAACAAGATATTTCATGGGAAACCAAGAGGTCCTTGATACGAGAAAGGGTTGACTCCGAGTGATGGGCTCTTGCTATCACATGTAACCCCTAACATTTTTCTCAGGTTGCACTCACAGTTCCTTATACCCATTTGTACTCCTGGGAGCAAGAGGCACTGTGAGGGTATAGTGTCTTGTTTAAAAACATTAATAATAATAAGTGTATTTTTTGTATTTTTAGAATTATTCTACAGTCACTCTAGTCATTATTTGAACCCAGATGAGTTGATTCAGAATGATCTACGTGCCAAGCGTCGGGTCACTGTATTTCCTGGCTGGAAGTTTATGTGTAATAGCACAACATGACATCATTCCCTGCAATCATGTTATGTTTTGACCAGTGACAATAACATTTGCAGTTTGTGAAAATCACCAATTTTAAACAGCGTTTTCAACCCTTGGAAATCATGCCTTTCCCAGATATTATACGCAATCGGGTCTCATTGGGATTCAATAAATCAGTTACTTAACACAGTTTTACCATTCAGTCTCAGAACAGCAAATTACTATAAACCAGTTGAAAACAAACTTTTTCTCATAAAAGAAAATCTCAATTGAAATATTTCATCTTAAATAAGCTGCAGATGAAGATGGCTCATCAAATCTCAGCGCCTTACTTAAGATAAAATGTAAAATGTCCTGATTCAAAGTCAATTGAAGCTTACCTTTGCAAAATTTCAACAGTGTTCTTAGACCTTCTTACCTTATCGAGAGTTGTGTAACGTACCACAGATCCTCTTCTAGACCTTCTTGTGTTAACTTGAGACGATGACGAAGGTCAAAACCACCGGGGAAAGGCGAAGCTTGAAGATTTATACTAACCATAGTCAGCACAATTTATAAGAACTGTCAGAACTTGAACGCAAAACTACTTTCACTGACCGCCATTTTAACGAGAACACGAGTGAACACTGGGCAGGAGTGGGTTCTAGGCTTACGCGGTGGTCTAATTTTCATTCAAACCCATTTTCAAACACTGAAATTCTTTCAGCCGGGCACTCTTTGAATGTAAACAGACAGCTGCCTACAGGCAGAAACAAATTGAGTTAAATCTCAAACAGGTATGCAGGTTATTTCGGTTTAATTTTACGTCAAGATCACCTAACTTCTAACACAATACTGCGTGGTATTGGTGGAAATACGAACGGGTTGAACTTGCTCCACTAATTTTGCAAACAACGGGGTTGTTGAGAATGCACTAATTATTTATGAGTATTCTGATGTTTTATTCCTTTCGATGTTTTCGTAACGTGAGTTCTATTTCTCCTTAATGTTTGCATCTTTTGTTATCCGTCGTCTTGCTCTTTAAAAACAAATTGAAAGAAAACAAACTACTCAACTGAACTCGATGTGACAAAAGGTTCAAAGTGGCAATACTTGGTAAGTCTATTAACGGCGTTGCATAATCACTCGCGTCGCTAGGTCAGTCAGGACTACATGTACACTTATCGCAAATTCAGTTCTCCTTATTCTACTCACGATCATAGTTAGATAGCTAGCCATCCTTAAGCTTAATCCTTTTTGACGAAACATTTACATAACCGATGTTGCTGCAACATCATTAACAATTTACATTCCAAACTCTGAAGTCTAAAGTACAAATGATACAATAGCCAACAATAACCAATGATCTGTAAAATTCACCACCTGCCAAGGTGTTTTATTGTCTCCTAGCAAAATACAGATTGTCTGTCATTATATACTTATGATTTGTTTATTGTTTCTTTGCTTTAATTTTGTTTTTGTTTTCAATGTAAAGTTAAGCCTTGCTGTCAGCCGGTTGGACTAATAAATCTATAATTTTTTATGCCCCGTCCACATTACGACGAAGAAATTTGAAGGTTGTGCCAACCGTCCACACTAATCCTTCACGAAAACGGAGCTTTTCGAAAACGCTCTTCAAACCGGAAGAATTTGAAAACGCTGGCTGTGCGTTTTAGTGTAGACGGAAAACATTTTGAAAACGGAGCTTGTCGAAAACGATGACATCACGATAATCATTTGATTTCCCTGACCGAGTTTTCCTCAGACACAAATCCAAAATGACCGCTGATTGTTACGTTTTCCAATTTCTCTGGCGTAGTGTGGACGGAAAACATTTGATACGTTTTCAAAGTGAAAACAGCGTTTTCAAATTTCCCTGGCGCAGTGTGGACGGGGCTTTACCGCCCAGGTCAACAGAAAGTAAACACATGCACCTTTATTTATTTACAGTAGACACTGATGGAAGAGTAGATAGAAAACTGCCTTAATTGCCAAGAACCGAAAATTATTCATTATGGTGACATTTCCTTTTGAAAAATAAAGTTGTGCCATGTAAAAGGAAACGGTTATAGACAATAAACAACGGGTGAAGGGGCGAAAAAGGTCCTGCGTTTAGTTTTTGACATCCTCTATTGGATAGACTGCTGGCAGTCTGCTTTTCTCTCGAAATTCAGCAGGGGCTATGAGGAATGACGCTTTAGCGTAAAGGGGAATGGGACGAGACATGGGCGCGGCACGCACGGTTTTTTTTCCCGTCTCGCCTTCTTCCCCACTCGGCCACCGCCATATTGTTCTTTTATTTTGCGTTCGCGATGACTAAACATTCGTCTAAGTGACCCTAAGAGAAAAAAACCGGCTGCCAGCAGACTACTATTGGACGCTGCCGCGCGCCGGCTGGTCTCGTCCCTACGGGAGTAATTACAAGACAAATCAAGACAAATCTATAGATAGCACCTTTAATGCTTTTGCAAGAAACGTCATCTCCGTTATTCGCTTCTCTACCTCAAAAGAATTGCTGTCGTTTCGTCCTAGGGCCAGTTCTCCCGGGCTGTAAGTCTGTTCGCCGCCGGTTAGCTCCGTGCCGGCAGTGGATCAAAGAACGAGAAGTAAATATGTTTTGTGTAATTTTGTTTCATGAAGCCCACAGTGTTGTCCTTTTCGCTTGTTTAGTTAAAAGAAAGAATTGAACACGTCCTTCCTTGAACTTTCAGTTCGGGCGAACAGACTTTTAGCCCGAGCGAAATGACATCGGGCGAAACGACCAGTAACACCTCAAAACCTTCCCATTACTAATCTTGACATGCATTTGTTTCTTTTCATTTCAGATTATTTGCCCGTTCTTGTTCAATGCTAATTATGGCAGTAAACCCTTGGGTTCGGATGCTTATTTATGGCATGCTTGGATTTTCCTACGAGATTGTCTTCACTTCGCTTTTTGACTTTGTGGCCTCGAATTTCACCGATTTCGCTTTCAAAGGATACTCTTCTCTCTGGTCTTTTCTTATTTATGGCTCGTGCAGTTTTTGCGGAGAACAAGTGTATTTTTACTCAAAAAAGTGTTTATCGATCTTTCTGCGCGGGTTGATCTACCTCCAAATGGCTTACACGTGGGAATTTATCGGCGGCCTCATTCTCGGTCAATTTTCAGCACGTACGTGGGACTACACCCACTACAAGTATGACGTCATGGGTTTGATCGCGCTCGAGTATGCGCCGTTATGGTTTTGCAGCGGTCTGTTGCAAGAATTCTTTTACGAGTATCTGCTGACGTTGTCAGTGCCACCCGTTGTTAAAAGCATGGAAGTAAACAGAAAGGAATCATACGCGGAACAGAATGGAAACTACAAGATAGATTGAAAAGAGAGATGTGCGAACTGTGAAAACAGGAGACTACGAGTAGTCCTCTTTCGCTTAGTCCGTCCTCGCCCCCAGGATTTCGCGCGGCCATTTTTTTCTCGCGGTTTTTTTTTTTGCGTCACGCACGACGGACTAAGCGAAAGAGGGACTACTCGTAGTCTATGAAAACAGAGACTTATTTTGCGACAAATTGTAATTGCTTTTATTTCTGCTTCTAATTTGTTGAGAGTTTGGCGCGAGTGTTTTTTTTTTAACCAATCACAGGACGTAGTTAAGCAAAACCAAAACATCATAGATATATAGCTTTCGGCAGTGGACTGAAAACCACTTTAAATTTCACAAATATAGAAATATATTTATGTAGGAATTAATTACTTATTATTTTTAATTCGTGTAAACATGACCCGCCTAGATTAGCTCAGCTATCCGCGGGCATGTTATAATTGTAATTTTCATTTGAAAACAAAATAAAATGTATGTAAAAATGTATGTATGTATGTATATTTACTCAAGACAACGGTCAATATGAAGTTTAGTAAACGTTAAAAAAACCTTTGGTATTTTTCAGGTAAATGGCCACAACACATGAGAGAGATTAGAAGATGCCGGTTGCACTATTTTTACACGATGTTAGTAGTAATTCTCCATACTGGTTACTACATGTTTATTTCATATTAGTTTTGAGAATTTCAGTGTTGGTACAAAAGGACGGATTATATATTATATAACAATGTATTTATATTGTAAGGAAAATTCAAATATTGGTCACCCTTTTAAAAAAGGCGTAGAATAAAAAAACAAACAAATTTCGGCAATTTTCAGTCGCAAAGAAAACCAGTTAGCAAGACTTGATTTTGCATATTGAGACCAGATCGCTAGAAGACCGGTTCGTAATGTTTAGGTTTTCATCATGTATTTGTAACAGATATTAGGTATGAACAACTTGAAATACGTATAATTACATGCAAGAATACCTCATGGAAGACAACTCCGCGGTAGATTCTGTTATAACGGAGGACCTTTTAGAGGCTTCTAGGAACAAGGGAGCATTAATTAACATGACCATTTATTTCAAGCTAAATAATAAGCGGTATTTTTGATGATTAATTCGTGAGGACAAGGGGTAATAAGATATAAAGTATTTGGCAGATTATATGCAAGAAAAAGTTGAAAATAAATAAACAAAGCACACACTGGCTGATAATTTTCATGCCAAATTGAAAGGATTTATTAGAATTTAGTTTTCCTTTACGATTTGAAACCGGAATCTAGAAGATAAATACCATACTGAGGCTCTATACCCCAAAACAACTGTAGGAACAACTTCTAATGCACTACAGTCGAACCTGTATATAACGGCCACCCTTAGGACTTGAGGAACAGGCCGCTTAGTACAGGATCACTAAAAATACTTACTGGGTGTGGTCTAACGTCGATGTTAATGGCGTATCATATAGGAACACTTCATGCAAGGAAACAATAGGACAACCAACACTCCTTCAAGTGATCAATACTTTAAAAGAAGTTCAGTGCCAACGTTTAACGGTGTAATATACGTCACATTGTGTAAAAGTACTGTGCAATAAATTGTCCTCTACTCTTCTACGGTATACACTGAGTGCTGTATTTCTGTAACTTACAGTTCACAACAAAATATCTCATTCCGTCACGTCATAGATGTTACGTTCAATTTCATAGTTGTTACGTTAGATACATATATGCATACATACATACATCACCTTCATTTCACCTCGTTCAGGGTGGCCGCTTAATACAGGTAAAAATAACAAAGAAAGACAAACATAGGGCTGCTACAGAGTAGCCGCGGCCGCTTAAGGTGGTATGGTACCCTCAAATGGACCAAAAAGTTTGTTTAAATATGGTGAAGAAAGATCGATTGTGTGCTATTGCACTCAAGAAGAGAAATTAAATTTCTAGAGTCTTACTCAAAATGGTTGCTATGGAAACCAGCCACAGCCTTTTGAAGTAGTGTTTTATAGTATTGACGCCAACACTTCTGCTCTTTTACAAAACAAGAATTGACTGT